CGCAGCCCTGCCGCAGCCCTGGCTGGCCCCTCACTGCCCACAGTGCACCACAGTAAAGCAAGCCAATCCACAAAGATGGAATATTCCCTCTCTTCTTTGAAAACACAGGGCTTCCATGTAGGGTCTTTTTTAAATTATGAAAAATAAGCCAAGGTGTGGCCGTTGGAAGGACCAGTGGGAGGTCCATCTCTCACACCCTGTCAGATGCAGGGGTTTTCTTGAGCAGTCGTGCCTCTTGTCTTTCCCATTTCTACTGTCCTCAGAAATTATGCCTCCAGCAGTTTTTGGGAAGAGTTCCCTGCTCTAAGCACTTTTGCCATCAGAAAATTTTCCTTGGGTTTCAACCTGAATTTTTCCACTTGCGCTCATGCTTTTTCACAGCAACTTCTATCACCCTAAATAGCACCTTCCTGCCGCAGGGTCTTCCAACTGGTATTGCTACAGGGGTCTCCCAGCCAACTTGCTTCTGGTTCCAGACCTCTCTCCCCCTCCAAAGTTTCTGAAAGCTAATTGTGAAGATGTCAAATTATCACCCCTGTGCAAAAAAAAAGCCTTGTGTTGCTTCATTTTATATTGGCTGGTGGTAGCTTAGCTCTCAATTTTAACTTATTGCAGGGAAGATTGGATAGCTAGCGGGTAGTCAACTTTTCCTAAACCAGCTGGAACGGGTACTGCATTACTGTCTCCCAGCGAGGATGCCCAGATGTTTTCTGGAGGTGAACAACTGAAACAATATTATGATGTGCTAGGAGTACCCATGGGGTTTTTTTATTTTGGAAATACTCAACTTTATATTTTAAAAGTTTGGAAAAATGAAAGAGCTGACATATGGCCAGTTTTCCAAGCTTTAATTTCCAACATAATAAAAATAAACATGAATTCCTCCAATGACTGCTTTTTGCAAGTTAATGCCATCCTTCACACCAGAATGTGTTGCAGTCGATACTTCATCTTGCAGCAATGCCAGTTAAACATCCTCCATGGGCGTTGATATCAGACCCGGTACTGTGCCAAATTACTCTCTAACTCACTTGGAAAGGAATCGTAGGATGGAGGAAGACTTCTTGGGCAGGAGGGAGCACCTTTTCCAAGCTTTGCAGGGAGCGGTCAGCGCGCCCAGAGGTCGTTGCTGTTGGCTGCTGCCTCTGCCTGTGCCCAGCTGAGCTCGCCGTCAGCGTCTAACAGGTGGCTTTGGTCATGGTGATGAGTTGCATCCTGGACCTAACCGCGTTTCCTCTTTTTCTGAAAGTTTTAGGTTCTCATTTGACTGAGGGAGAGGCTGTGTGGGTGCAAGCTGGTGGTGGGATGCCACCAGCTGTTTTAGTTTTTCTCTAAACTGCTGATTTTAGCCACGTACCTCAAAGAACTGTGAACCTACTGATCTTTTCCACTCCAATTTCTGGTTGCAGCTTGCCTTAACCAGATCCAGCTCCTTGGGTGACTCCTCCAGGCCACAAAGGTATGAAGATACTCTTCTGTAATCACTGTTATTTACTTTTTCTGCATGAAACGTGTGGGAATCTTCCGGTTTAGCAGCCCTAGTGGGATAAGAGTGCAAGGCAGAGAGTGGTACCCAACACTTGGGATGTGCAGGTGAAACCATGACATTTAGTTTGAGCAAGGAAAGAGCAAGCACCACTGCTGCAACGTCTGAAGGAAGGCGTGCTGACACCCTGCTAGCACAGGGAGGGGCGATGACAGGAACACGGTCGTTTTGGTCAGAAATACAGAGTGCATGAAGCGTGGCACCCCGGCATTCATATGGAATTGTGTGTATTCTTCTTGCAGACACCTCATTGCTATATTAAAAGAAGATAAAGAGACATTTGGGTTTGAAATCCAGGTAAGACTTAAATGACAAGTCGATTCATTTAAAAATAAAATATGGTGCAATGTCTTAAGTGTCACAGCCTCAAAATTAAGTCAAGACAGCATAGAGCAGAGAAAGATATCTGTCAGTTCCTCGTGAAATTTGGAGAACTTACAGTAATGATGCAGAAATAGGATGCCTTTCCAAGGATTTTTTCATAGCAAAGGTCACAGATGAGAATTTCTGGCCTTCTCACAAGTCAGAGTGTTGAATGTAGGAGAAATCTCATCCAAATCAGATATGAAGTGATGGCAATACCTTCTTATCTCCATAAGTGAGTATTTTTTGGGAGAATTGTATATGAGAATATTTTCACATAAAAAGAGAGAGATCAAAAAGCTCTCTCTCCAAAAAATACCTTATACTAGAGTTTTACTACCTCCTTTAACATATATAGACATATGTATTTTTGAAACAGATGTACAGTGTTGGTATGTTTTTTTAATAAATAACTGCTAAGCATGACTTTTTGGGGGCTAAATCATATAGGAAGAAATTCTGGTAGATGTAGAAGTCAGTAAATCAACAAATAGGAAAGCCAGAATCTTACCAGGAGTGCTGCCGATGGGAGATATTTGTTCTGTAGATTTTTGTGAGAAAGGTAACTCTTGGATCAGTCGGCCTGCTAAAATCCTGGTTATAAATAAAAAATAATCCCAGCAATAAAGAGATGCCATTTTGGGGGCAGCGGGTTGTGGCAATGCCGCAGAGCTCTGCCTGCTGGTGGGACCTGCAGGCAGGAGCCTGTTTCGTGAGCCAGTGCCCACGGGACCCTCCCACCTCACCTCTCCGTTTCCTTTACTGCGGCAGCCAGGCATCTCCAAAGTGCTTGCCCATAACTCTGCACAAAGGGAAAATAGTATTTTCAGTGAAATTAGTGTATTAGGAAAAGCTTAACTTTTTCAAATTTGGTTCTGTGACTAATGAGCAAGTAAGCATTCAGCTCATGAACAGGGGAAAGCTTTCAGAAGAGAGGATAATTGAGTCAATTATTGGGCTTTTATACAAATTGTCAGGGCAGATTTTCATTATATGTGACATTCTGATTAAAAATAATTGTTCTTGGCACATTTTCTTCCTGAATCTACATTCAGTGTGAGCACTTCACTAGAAAGTCCAGGCTATGGAAAGACAGCATCTCTCTAAGGATAAGCCATTGTTTAGAAGCTGTAATTTCATTACTACAAGTTAAATTTAGGCAAAGCAGAATAAGATGATGTGAAACTCTAGGTCTACCATCTGCAGGGAGCTCATGAGAACTGCAGTGATGGCCAAACGCCAGAGCTTCTCACACGTTACCACTTCTTCTCCTACTTCCCACTCACGGAGCAGAGCCTGGGGGCGAGGTGGACGCTGTGCGGCTCCCAAAGTGCTGAGCGTTTGCAGAACAGATGCTCTGGTAGCACGTCTCTTCCCCTCACTGCAGCCACCTAAAAGTTAGGTGTCCCCTCCAAGACCATGGCCCAGCGGTCTTCTGCGGTCTGTGAGGAGAAGAAAGTACAAGAGAGGGAAGTCCACCCTCCTGGTTGGACTGCTTCTCTTGGGGCCATCAGTCACACCCTTGAGATGTCTGCCTATCCCGGTGGCTCTGGTGGGGACGCTGAGACATCCGTCCAGATGGCTCCAGCTAGGTGTGACGAATCCCATCCTGCTTGTCCAGCTCGTATGGCTCAAGCTGGCCCAATCTTTCAGGTTGGTAGGTGATACCTACCACTCTGAAATAGGTCAAAAAAAAAAAAAAAAAAGCAAGTGTGACCTGCGGTGGCATGTCCTCCAAGACCCTCATGTTCCACTTGGCACCCTTAGTTTAGCCAGAAGTTTTACTGTTGGTCTAAGGGCTGAAATCACTGCATTGGTGTGATTTGGGCTAGATAAGCTCTGAACTCACCCAGTCTTCATCCCTATCTGTTCCACGCTGACTATTTGGGAATCTAACATGACTTCTTATATCTGGGTTAGATGTGGCTGTCATAGGTTTTCAGGAAATTCAGCTTCAGTCTTAAATTTTGGTAGGAAGATGTGGCTAAATACTGGCATTTGCAAGTAACTAAGAAGACATTTCCTGTCATTGCAAGATCTGATCAGGTTGCATCGCCTACGTTTGCATTTTTCTAAATACATGTCAGCACTGATAATCACATGATGGATTTATACTTAGAAATACTTAATGTATATTTAAATGTATAAGTCAAGAATAAGAAACACTTTTGAGAGGGTGTGGGGACATGTGTGGATAATGAGTTTAAGAGGCCAAAAGAGCAAAAGTAGGCTCAACTCTTCTTGCTTTTCAGTTCTCATTGCGAACTGATCTATCTGGCAGCACCAGCTGACTTCATGCAGCATTCACAATGAGTAGGAGACGATCACTTGAAAAGCCCGAGTCACACCCTGCCATGCTGTGGCTGGGAACGTTGAATATCCTTCCAGAAAGCAATCCGCATCCATGCGGATATTCTTGACTGGAATTACTGAGTTTTTGATAACGAATGACCTACTTGCTTTAAAACTAGTCTTTTGCAAAACCAGTGTACACACATCTGTCAGGTGTCTGCTGTTATCATCACAGAATGCAATTTCTAATTGTTAGGGTACAACATTTTGGTGTTCTCACTTGCATGATAATATACCCTGCTCATCACAGCCTTCTCATTTAAAAAAATGTGTAAGTCTATTAATATTTAAATTGTTTCATGGCTTTAATACTGGTATCATTGTCACTTTGGTATTAACAGACTTTCAGATTTCCGCACCAAAATGATTATTCCCAGGAGGTATGCACTTGCATCTGCAAAATTGAGGAAGAAAGTCCTGCCCATCTTTCTGGCCTTCAAGCTGGTAACTGTTCATGTTTTTTTCCTGCTGTGGGTGGTCTTATCTTGCTTTTCTCCTGATTACTTTTATTGTAGAGCATGTGGAAGGCATGTGTGTGCTGCAGATGCTCATTTTCACCTCTGTATATCTCTAACAGGCGATATCCTGGCCAGTATCAATGGCATGAACACTGATGGCTATAGTCACAAGCAAATAGTAGACTTGATAAAGTCTTCAGGGAACTATTTAAGGTAGGCATCTCTCCTTCAAATGGTTTTTAGCTTAATAGTCTCTCCCACTGGAAGTCTTGCACCAGTGCTGCTGCTGCTGAAGAGAGCCGCGTCTGAGAGGGTTTGGTGCTCCCCGTCCCCGCGTGCGGCCGGTCCCCAAGGATCCCGCGGCACCTCACGCTGCTGTGCAGTGCAGTGCGGTGCGGGCTCCGGCAGCCCTGGCAGCGCTCGGTGCTCGTCTCCGTTTCCGTGCCAACATCACCTGTTCTTCACAGGTTAGAGACTGTCAACGGGGCCATGTTTCTGCGGAAAATGGAGCTCGAGACCAAGCTGCAGTTGCTGAAGGTAACGTAATGAATTAGTTAATCTGCTGGCCAACACAGAGGGCTGTTGTGGATTCGTTGCTAATGGGGGTAGGTGGGTGTCCGTGGGGCCAGGTGTCCTGGCAGGGGGCTGACAACCGCGTGTCCCCTGCCGCCAGAGGGGGCTGACACCCGCGTGTCCCCTGCCGCCAGCACCCCCAGCTGCGGTCCCTGTAATATTTTCTGTGTATTTTTTTGTAATATTTTCCCCCACAATAATTTCTGTAACTCTCTAAATATTTCCATTTCTGTCTGCGCCTCAGCTGCGCCCAGCTGGTAGGCAATCCTCCCCTGTAAGAACAGAACAGCGTATTTTAACCTACGCTGTATTTAGCAAAAAGGGAAGGCAGGCTTTCACAAGCAGAGCTCAGGCTCATTAGGGACGGCACCTCTGACTTGTAGAACTTCTGTTCCCCCAGCCGAGTGCGAGGCAGCCGGGCTGGCAGCAGGTTTTCGGGTGCCGGCGCCCCGGCGTGCCTCTCCGCTCCCCCCGCTGCAGCCGCAGTGCTGCAGGCACCGCAAGGGCCAGGGCTTTCCAAAACCGGGACTCGGTCAACCCAAGTGAGGGGTTTTTCCTTATGGCAGCTCCATGCCAGAACCCTCCACACAGGAGTATGGTACTTTAAAAAGTGCATTAAAAATTAATCTGGCGAGAACAAACCTCATGCCAAATGGGCTAGGCTTGCCAGAGCTGAGCAGCAGGGACAGGGTTTGCCATATGTGCCATTGCCTATAAAACATAAGTCCTGCCACGGGGGTGATTTCAAGTTTAGTATTTAGCATGTTTAAAACAATGTTTATTTAATTTGGTTTGCGCTGCATTTATGAGAGTACAGCACAGGGCGCTGTAATTTGCTGCATGGCCCTGATGCTGTAGATGATGGAAACGGTAGCTCTGGGGGCTGGAGGGTGAGGAAAGGAGGGGTCCCTCCCAACCTCTGCTGGCCTGCGGCTTTGGGTGCCGAGGGCAGTGCCTGCCTGTACAGGCCATATCTTGGTCACCGTCACTCCGTCCTAGAAGATGGGCAGGGGTAAGGAGAGCAGGGTGAGACCTCCACGAGCTCGGTTTCCCCTCCAAGGCTCGTTAAACTGACGGGGGGCTATGGAGGATGCTCTTGGAAATAGCCGGCACAGGGGTTGGGGAAGCTGAGATTGCCCGGCTGGATGGCTAGTCCAGACGCGGCGAGAAACGAGCCAGACCCCAGAGCCAGAGAGTTCACCACTCTGTTAATGAGAACACAGCAGCAGGATGCTTCCATCCCGGCCACGGTCAGTGCTCCGCGGCAAGGCATTCAGTCTGGTCCCTTAGAAATCTGGATGAAATAACTGGTAAAGTCACCAGAAATGGGTCACCCCCCACCCCACCCCTTTTCAGGGAAATTATAAAGCCAGAATCTCAAAATCTGCTGTGAAATGTTCTAAGAGGGGAGTTTTTAGATAACAGCTGTTTCTCAGAAGTGCTAAACCCCTGTGACAAGCGTCGTTACAGAGTAAAATATGGGTGTGAGCCTGGCCCTGCACTCTCACACTAGTGTGGCTGCAGTGGAAAGAACGAAATTCTGTTTATAACTGCCTCTGATGCCTTACTGAAGGGTGTGCTTGGTCGCTGCAAACCCTGTAACCGCAGCGAGATGATGCCATGTGAGTGCTGAGCATCGCAGGTTTGGGTGTGCAGTTGCACAAGCGCGTCCTGCCCTCGGGACGCAGCAGCCAGCCCGTGCAAGGGGCTGCAGCTGGGACACGTGCCCCTCTGCGCCCACCGCCGCCGTGCCGGTGGAGCGGGCGTCCTGGCAGCCGTGAGCGGACACGCGCTCCGTGCATCAGCTATCCTGACAGCCCTGCTGCTGTTACGGTTTAATTAGATGGGAGAAAGCAGGACTAGGAGGTGGTTGATCTTTTGGTTGGGTCCGGATGGGGATAAAGAAAATCTTTGGGCAACTCCCCAGCATCTCTTGCGTACAATTTCCTAGGTTTAGCTGCATTACAAACTTCCAAAAATCACTTTATTCAACACTGTGAGACTGTAAGAGCAAACTTCTCCAGACTAATTCTCCTTAAAAGCGGTTGGTGCTCCCATTTTACTATCCCGCTTTAGTGTTGTAGGAATGCGCTTGTGGGAAAGCTGAGGCCAGCCCGTGTCTCTGATTTGGCGGAGGCTGACCTGCGCACCTCAGCCCCCATGCACAGCTATCTGCCAGGTCATGTCCAAATCCGCTAGGAAGTGATTCCGTGAGAAGAGCAGCTGGGAAAAGGCTTGTTCCCCGGTGCCCTTGTGAATCGCTCTTGTTCAGTGCAATGAGGGAGCTCCAGAAGAGCCTCCGTGCCGCCCCCTCCTCCTGATGCTGGGGGGCTGCCTGGCCTCTGCGGGGTGCTGGGGGCTTGTGTGCGGGTGCTGCACCCAGGGTGTCCCCCTGCCTCACCACCCTGCAGCCGGGCCGTGGGTTTCATTTTGTGATTGATTTTTCCGAAATGTGGAAAAGAGAAAAAAAGAAAATGTGAATGCAACAACAGGATTGCCCATGCAAGCTCAGCGTGGTCAGTTTGGCTGTATCACGCGCGATTTCCCAGCCTGTCCGGCTGCCTGTCTGAGGTGCACCAGGTTCATGCAGATTACTGGGGAAGTGCCTATTGCGACTGTCTCCAGGCAGAGGTTCGTCTGTTGGGTGTTGGGTATTTTTTTTTGAATCAACTATGCAATAGTTTATTTTCACACCAAAAGCTGACCTGCAACAGAGGGGAAGAAAAATGTTGCTTGCTGTTGGCCGGCACATAGTACTTGGAGGTTGTAAGGCTCTTTACTAGGGGGTCAGGGATGGTTGGCTGTGCCATGCCCGCGCTGCCAGAGCCAGGAACAAGGAGGGGGTGCCCGTCCCCGGGCGGTGGGCTCTGGAGCTGCCGAGGGCTGGAAGAGGGCAGCCTGCGGGCTGCTGAGGAGAGCTGGCGTCTCCCTCCATAGCTAAAGGCAAGCAGCACGCTCTCCAGATTTCAGCAGACGTGTACAGTACGTCAGCCAAAGCACCCAGGACATGAGCAGGATTGTGCTTTCTGGAAGAGCTTTGCTGAATGCCGGGAGAATTATCTCAGTAAAAAGAGGGACATAGAAGTTCTCCTTGCAGGTGACCCGTACTTTCTGAATACACTGTTTTCTTTACAAGTGTTTGATGCTTCTGCAAAAGTGTGTGAATGACAGAGCCCTCTTTCTCCTCCTCAGCAAACTCTGCAGCAGAAATGGGTGGAGTTGCGCTCTCTGCTCTTACAGGAACAGCGCTTGCTGCACGGTACGTCCTCGTTTCCGGGTAGGAAACCACAGCGTTGCTGAGTCCTTCTGCAGAAACGCTGTCTGATCAGTAAAAAGCAATTCTTTAATCTGATTTTCGTTTGCTTTCTTTTTCCGCTCTTAATGAGGACATGGGGCTGGCCCCGGGAAAGCTTTTTTTCCCCGGGACTAACGAATTTGGATGCTGCTTGACTAATGCAGACCAAAGGCTCTTTTGCATGAGCTCTAGGAAAGGAGTTGATGTGGGTTGAAAACATTTTTTCCATTCTTATTTTGGACTTACCAGGGGAGAGTTTTGTTAGTTTGGTTTTTTTATGGGTTGCCCAGGGAGCAGCTTTGATTCTCTATGTGGGGGAGGCAGGGGCAGAGAGCACCCCACAGCCGGGAAACAGAGGGAAGGGGCTGCTCGCTGCGCTGAGACGCTGGGCATGATGTTTCCCTGTGCCACCGTGGCACAGGCGTCCTGCTTCCCGGCCTTGAGCAGGTGTCGGTAAATGACTCTCCTCTTCGGCTTCTGCTTCCAGGGGAGGTGAACGACAACGCACTGCTGGGCATGCTGGAGCTGGAAGAGTCCAGCTTGCTCAGTGGCTGCAGCATGCCGGGACCCCTCCTTCCGATGAAGCCTCGCTTCTCCAGCGAGAGCAGCTCCCGCAGCCGGCTGAGCTCGATGACCTTGGACAGCGAGGACAGCTTCTACCAGATTGGCGCCTTCGAGGATTCAGCTGCAGAGAGCCTGAGCCGCCAGTCGAGCATAGATGATGACTGCTTCTTCCCCAGGGATGGGGATGGTGCTGCTGGGAGGTCTTCCCTGCGGAGGAACCGCAGCATCAGCCTGGCCAGCAGCGGGTCCATGTCCCCGCTCTGGGAGGGGAGCAGCTGCAGCAGTAGTTTTGGGACCCTCCCACGGAAAAGCAGGAGATCCAGTGTCCGAAGGCATCTTTTGAAATTCATTCCAGGCCTTCACCGGGCAGTGGAAGAGGAAGAAAGTCGGGTGTGACATCGCACGTGTCATCCTTGATGTCTGGGGCTCTGCACGTGGGACTGCTGCGTGGCCTGGGACCGAGGGCAGCAGCTCACCCCGAAGGCACGCAGTGGGTGAAGCACGGTGGCACTGCACGGCAGTCCTCCAGGCAACAGTATGGATGATATTTGAAAAGTTCTGGGGTTTTTAATTATTTTAATTTTTAATCGGAACACACTGTAGGCCTCTTCATTAACGTGAAAAATGACTTTGACATGTGAAGAACCTTTGCAGAAGTTCCTCGGCATGCTTTAGTGTTAATAACAGTTCTTAATTGAATGCAAAATTGATAGCTATTTATTTCCTGTTACCGAAGTTATAGACTTCCAAAGGTCTTTAATAAGGCAAGTGCTTCTACTAAAACCAGTAAGAGAGTCCCGTTAGAAAGAGGATGGAGCCCAGAGGGTGCAACAGTGAGAGACCCTGGGCAGTGACGCTTTGAAGCAAAGGGCAGAGATTTACCCGTGGTTTGCGGTGGGTGATACACGTGGGTGTGCTGGAG